ATTTTTTCCGGTTTTCCGTTACCGGCGATGACGCCGGAGGTTGGCTAGAGAAGACGACGGAATATTTCGTCAGTTTGGACGGAATATTCCTAACGGCGTTAATGGAATCCGTCAGAGTTAACGGAATATTCCTGACGGCGTTAATTGACGTCGTCAGTGTGCCAGGCATGTGCCTGCGCGTGGGCGGTGTCGGAATTTTTTTTAAAATATATGGGGATGTTCGTGAGGTTGAGTAGATCACGTTGGTGTATTCATACACCCCATTTGAGCATTGTATGAGAAGTTATTTCGTAATGTTGGTTATGTGCTTTAAAATTAACGTATTTATAGTTGTTTCGCATATAGGTGAGACCTATCCCGAGGACGAGCGCAGTCACTCGAGGCAAGGGGGTTACGACCCTTCTACATACCAGTGAGTGGGCTTTTGGTTTTTCGTATATACCTATATACTTATATTTTTCCCAGAAAGTGAAATGAAACGTTTATACGTTTATATGCCATGCATTATGTTTGCCGTTTCATTACGTTTTATTAGTTGCACATATATATATATATGTTTGGTGTTGCGGATGTATAGGTAAGTGCCAGGTAAGTTATGGTTTATGTTTATGTTCACTAGTGATTTGGGATGCATAGAGAGCTCATAACCTACACCCTCGGTGTTAGTGCTCCTGCCCAGAATTGGGCACAGTCCTTCACGTGATGTTCACCTCCCGCACCACACGCTTATCTTAGATCCAAGTTAGGTGCACAGTCCTGTCGTACAGACCACTTTAGGCGGTTCCGACTGGTAGGTGACCTGCGATTATTCGCCCAATCTTCACGCGATCGTAGCACTTGAGCGTACTTATTATATACCCAGTCCTATTGTACAAACCACTTTAGGTGGTTCCGACTTGTGTGCAGGTATAGTTAGTAAGTTGGAGATTTGAGCTCTAAATTTAGCCGTACATGTCACGTTAGGTGACTCCGGCTGACATATTACATGGCATTGTTTGACATTACCTGAGTACTTGCATTTTATTTCGAGGCATTTGGCATGGCATACTTCTGAGCATGATTTATATATATATTTGTATATATTCTATTTTTCTGGGCAGTATACAGGTTTACGGTGAGGGGTTAGAACTTTGTTTATGAAATGGTTTTTGAAAAGCTTTGTTTTTGTCCACTCACGCTTTCTGTTTTGCGCCCCTCCAGGTTCTAGTTTGGCTAGCGCTTTTGGTGGCTCCCCAGAGGATTTTTCCGGCTTATCTGACAGATTATCACCAGTGTAGGACCATCTTTGGGTGTGTTTATTTAGTGTTGTTTCTCCTAGACTGCATTAGGTCTTCCATGCTCTGAATTTTGTTTTTTCACACTTACGCTTGCACATGTATGTTATTTACTTTGTGTATAGCTGGGTTTTTATTCATTCGTACTTTTATTATTATTTTTTAGCTTCCGCACTGTGCACATGGTTACGTCACTTCCACGTGACGGCCAGCATGCCCTGATCTCGATCGGGGTGTGTCAGTAAAACTCTATTATCCTCTATAAAACATTTGTTTCTATTCTATCCTACCTCTTACTTGAGTTTTAGGGTTCGCAAATTTTTAATAATTCTCTCTATTGAGTTTAATAATTCTTTTAATAGTATTGATGACATCATGCGGTCTCAAAATATGAAATTTGTCGTGCATAAGTATGATTGCTATGAATAGATAAAATTATCTATGGATATGTTAATTTGACTATTTCATTATTTGAATGTAATATTATGATATTTTGCATTTGTAATTTTATAACCACTATTCATTTTTTTCTTCTTTTATACTTGTGTGAGACCTAGGGGTGGGTTCAAAAAACCGAAAACCGAAAAAAACTGAAAACCAAACCGAACCGAGGTCGAAAAAAACCAAACCGAAAAAAAAACCGAACCGAAACTACCAAACCAAACTGAACCGAATTTGGTTGGTTCGGTTTCGGTTTTTGAACCGAACCGAAAAAAAAAATCATATATAAATACTAAAAAATACATGTTGCCGTCGGGGTTTGAACCCTTTCCCTATGGGTTGGGTTGGTTGTTGCAAGCCAACTTGACTGTAAGCTTTGTGTTGTTATAATTGTACCAGTAATTTATTTATAGGTTTCTGGGTTGTGCTTCTTGGTTGGTTTGGTGGGAGGTGAAATTAAGTTGAGCAGCTTTTCTCTAAGAGCATAAGTGCTTCTTCTTGGTTGATTTGCCTTTAGACATAACAGTTATATATATATATATCCCTTGATCAAGGAAAGTGCTGTCATGCATTGCCCTTGCTCTAAGATTCGATACCTTATATTGTCTTTTTGATCATGGAAGTTGTCTTGCATGGTCTTTTGTCGAGAAAGTGGTACCTTGCACTACCTTTGGCTATGAAACTAGCGCCATGCATTGCCCTTAGGTAAGATAATAGCTCGAGATGTCTCGTGGAGGTGTGAAGGCAAGGCTAGATAAGCATGCCATGACAACACATGTTCGGTAATACCATGAAAATTGCAATCCTCAAGTATGAATTCCATTCAAGCCATCACAATGCACAATATACATTACGAAGGCAAGAACATGAATGCCGTGCCTCTACATGGCAATTTCTTTTTTTTAGCATATAGTGCAAGGGATCACTATGATTAACATATATGCATTTATATACAAGTATATGTATAATATATGTGGAAAGAACCTGCTATAGTGCTGTTTAAGTTCCCGCTTGATGATCCTGCGTTGTGCCGTGGTGGTGCCTTGACATGCCTTTGCCATGCACAACGCATGGCATAATTTTCCTTGCGCAAGGCATCCCTTAGTCGTGCCTAGCCTTCGTTGTGCTACACAGTGTGTTTGGATGTATAATAACATTTTGGTGGATCATCACAACGACTAACACATCTCAAGTAAGGATGGCTGATCAATTGTTACAAAACAAATATCGTGAACATGGTCAAAGAAATGAATACCAGCATCTTAAATACACAAGCAGATTGCGCCAGATAACAAACAAGGACGATGTTACATGATCTGCAAATGAATACAAAAAAATGAACGAAAAAAAGACAAGGAAAAAAAAAAAAAAAAAAAAACCGAAAAAAAACCGAAACTGAACCGAGAAAAAACCGAACCGAAAAAAAACCGAACCGAAAAAATATTGAACCGAACCGAACCGAACCGAAATTTCGGTTCGGTTTCGGTTTTAAGAAAAACCGAACCGTTAAGAACCGAACCCAGCCCTAGTGAGACCCCTCCTCACAAGAAATCCCAACTCCATCACTGGTGGTAACTTTATCGGGGACTGAAGCCATTGGTGAGCATAAGATTGAGTACCTGGTGTACGGATCCCAGTGTTAAAGAAAGATGTAATCACTGAGTATCAGGTGAGAATGCATGGTGAGTTTTGATCATGTGGCTGAAAAGAAAGATGGAATCGTTGACGGTGGATATTAAGGCGTAGGATTGGAGGAGGGCGTTGTGGACGCGGAGGTCGAGTTTTGTTGCGGAGACGATGGAGGTGAAGATCCTCTTGGCGCCGGAGATATGCGGGTAGGTGAAGGGATTGCGGAAGGCGGTGGGTTCTGGGTTTTCACGGAACCACTCAGTCTCAGTCTCTAACTCCTTCAACCCCATAATCTATTAAAAAAGAAACCAAACCGTGGACCCGTCAGAACCGGCCGTTTGAAACTGACCCGATTAGGTCTGGTTTCATTTCTAAAATAACAAGAATCGCCCTTCTCGTCCTATTTTATTTACAAACAGTCCAGTCCGGTCCTTTAAATTACATATGTTGTAAGCGAGGCGTTTGATTTTTGTCAAACAAATTTGAATCACATTATTGTTAGGTAGGCTTAGCTCATTTATCATTCCTAATATCTTTGTTAAAAAAAAAAATTACATATGATTTATTATTGTTACCACACAAGCTTCGCAACTTATCTAGGTTTGCTTTGGTCAGTGCGCCATTCCTGTGGCGCAGGGTTGTTTTGCAAATTTACAAGTAGCTGTTAGAGAAGATGTTTTGATGGGGTGTAGCAGTGCACTTGAAAGTAGGTTTGTTCTCCTTTTCCTTGTAATTTTATTTTTGTTGATCATCTGATGTATTATCTAAGAGTTTGAGTTGATTCCATGTATTATTATATCGTTATTTTTAGCCGCCACATGTCAATTCTTGACGTATTTCGAGAACGAAGCGTTACAGCTTTCATATACATTAGGTTGTGAGTTGTGACATTATTGGTGATGAATAATGCGGTTAGAGAAACAACAAAAACAAATGATTATAAAAGCAAAATGAAAATAAAAGACAGCTAATAATGTAATCACATGTAGTTTGGGATCCAAGTAGGGATTGCCATTTTGCAATAATTTGATTTAAATATTAAAAGAGAAAAGGAAAATTTACACTTAACATATTTGTCAATCTTCGTAACATGTTTCATGTGGTTGCCTTGTGGTCTTTGCTTCTGTTTATTTTAGGCAAATTTTTATATTCATACACTATTCTTTATATTTTTGTCATCGAATTAAATAAATTAAACGAAAACAATGATTAGAATTTAATAAGAATATGTGAGACTAAAAAATGTACATGTTTATCATTTTCTTTTTTTATTCACTCCACCATCCTTCTACTCTAATTAAAAAATATAGTCAATGTCAGTTACAAGTTGGAATAATTTATGCACAAAATAATTGAAATTCCATTAAAACTAAAGTTTTCCCAGATCACAAATTGAAGAGGAGGAAGACAATTCTTCAAGGGAGAGACAGTAAGATGGAAGGTATCACGCACATGTCAGTAAAGAATTCTGAATTTTTAGTGAGTTTGAATAAAAAACTTGCATCTTAAGCCAATTCTTGCGCAACCGGCCATTGTCAAGTGCAAATACTTTTTCAACGATGGTTATTATGCTTATCTGTTGCATATATAATTATATCCCTATGCCAATTAATGGTCTCTTCACAACTGCTGATGTGATCTGAAAGCACTGAAAAAATGGTGGCTGCAGCTGAGGTAGTAGCTTGCAACGAAGACCTCATCACATTGATCCTCCTACGCTTGCCGGTGAAATCGCTTCTCCGGTTCAAATGTGTCTCCAAGAAGTGGCTCTGTCTGATCTCCACCCCAAATTTCTCTAGCCGCCACCGCAGACTTGCCTCTGCATCCATCCTCTTGTCTCAAATTCCCGGCCTCATCAGCCACCTATCTCTCAATTGCAGCAGTTCAGAGAAACCCTTTTCGTCTCTTGACTTCATTGATGATTCAGCTGGTGTTAAGTTATTGCAGTCCATCAATGGCCTGGCCTTGGGGTGTAGCTTTCACAAGTTGGGAAAACCTCGTAGCTATTATGTCTGCAACCCTTCAACAAGGCAATTCTTGACGCTTCCTCCACCTAATGCTGAGGGTCATGATTCGCTCGCAACTGTTTTAGGTGTTTATTTAGCTTTTGATCCGTCCAAATCACCTCACTACCAAGTCGTCTGCGTTCGAAATTGCTCTTTATCAGCAGCACACGATCGGTACCAAATTCAGATATACCCGTCCGAGACTCGAACTTGGAGGCTTTGTGGTTCTCCTTTTGCGTCCCCATCCGACATCATGTTTGAAACTGGGGTGCTTTGGAATGGTGCAATACATTGGATTAGCCCAACGGGAGCTACATTATGTTTTAATATCAATCAAGAGCACCTTGGATCAATGCCTAGTCCTCCATCAGACGAGCACTGGAGCAAAAGAAGGTTCAGATATTTTGGTGAATCCGGTGGCCATTTGCACCTTGTTGAAATTTATGGTCCAAGCACCACTCAATTCCAAGTCTTTGAATTGGAGAGGGATTACTCAAGGTGGATTTGCAAGTACCAAATCGATATTTCTCCTATCGTCGATGCATTTCCGGAGATGGTTAGAGACTACCTTCACCCCCATCACCATGATTCTCTGTTTTACGCGTTTGTTTTACTTTTTGTCCAAGAAACTGAAGAGGGCTCATCGCTGTTGCTGCACATTCCTGGCAAGCTTATATCTTATAATCTTAGAAATAAGAGCTTCAAGGAGATTTGTGATTCCGGTCCAAAATCCACCAAAACAAATACAGCATTACATATTGGATGCTTTCATGCTCATCAGTTTATAGAGACTCTTGCTAGTGTTTAAACATTAAAAGATGTCAATTTGCCTCCACTTATTGTTTGTATCGTTGAGATTAATACCATTGGAATGTTCAATAATTGTTATGCCATTTGAGTAATGGAAATTCAGAATGTAATGATTTGCCTATTAGTTTGAGATTCATAAGTAAATTTCCACCCCTTAAATCACCTTACATTGGATAGTCGCAAATTTGAGACATAAAATACTACCTTTATGCCCTATTTGGGAAATATATATTTTAGATTGTAAGTTTGTATATTTTGAATTCTATTTGAGATATGATGGGAGTTCCGCTTAATTGGGAAACCCACTGCGACAATCAAAAATGCTTCAAGAATTTTGTTTTAAGAATACAAAGAAAACTGTGTTTCTCTAATCTCTACAAGGGTGTCATGATATGTAAGAAAATAGGACTTAGAAAAACAGTGCCTAAAGGTATACGAGATTAAAACTGTGTTCTTAAATCATAGAGAAAAATGTCCTTAAAGGTGAAATACGACCACCATAGTACCAACGCCATGAATGCATTACAATCCAATACTTAGAATGTCAATACTTTCTTAGCTAATATATAGTCAAGAAGTACGTAATTGGTGCACCAATAATCTTCGCCCATTCTATACCCGCAACGCTAGATTGTTTTGGTGAAGCCACCAACTTGTCCCCATTAAAAAAAGAAAAAGAAAAAGAGAGAAGTTAACATTGGTCCAAGTTGAATAAGTTCAATTAAAAGAAGTGGAATAAGTACTTTGTTGTATCATAGATTGGGTCTCAATATTTGAAGAGAGAGAAACCTTGTTCCATGAAAATGATCGTTCACCCTCGCTTTAAGAGGATGGTAAACTCTAACCTCTCTAGTAACGTTATTTGAATATTCTTACGATTGTGTTGACAAAAACCATATCACTCTTTAAGCATGCCACACATGAATCGGCATTTACATGTATTTTGTAGTCACATATTATGTTTTTAGTATGGCACATATCACATCTTCAAGCTTTTATTTCTGTTTTCATATTTTTAGTTGAACATCATCATATCCAAATTGAAACTATGTTTCGTCGTTATATTTATCTATATGACATGTGGACGCACTGCACAAGCTACCACACATGCATATATGTACAGTCGCACACTTATTCATGTTATTATGGATAGAACGTGTATATAATCTTGCTGATGTACATTAGAAATTGATGGACATTGGGTTCACACTGCTTTGAACTCTTTGGTTGCTTTGGTTTTGAAAGCCAAATACTTTCCTAACTCGTCATTCCTTGAGGCCTCTGTCAAGAACACTGCTTCTTTTTGTTGGAAGAGTATCTGTGCTGCGAGACCTGTTTTGATCCGTGGCTCCCGATGGCAAGTGGGTTCTGGGGCCCGAATCAAGATTAGGGAGGATCGCTAGATTCCCCAACCCCTCTCCTTCCGTGTGTTTTCTCCGAAATCCCTATAACGCGATCTTCTATTTGTTCAGGAATTACTTATGGCACTCCCTGTCATTGGAACATCCATCCTCTTCAATCCTTGTTCACTGAGGTGGAAGTGAAACTAATTCGTTCCTTGCCGATTAGCATCCGTTTGCTGGAGGACTGTTTGATTTGGCACTTCGGGAAGAGGGGAAGGTTCTCGGTCAAAAGTGGTTACCACGTCGCTCTGGAGTGGATTGATGTGTAGATTTTATATTATATATTTATCCATATTCTTAGTATTTTGATTAATATTTTGAAAGAATTTTAATACTTTGAATTATATTTTCAATATAAAATTTTTAACTTCCTCTGAAGCAAAACACGATCAAATGAACGAATTTTGGAGTAATTCCATTTGAAGGATGTTTGTGAGTCACTTGGCTTGATTGTATCACAATTTGCAATTTTTCTATCTAGCGATGATTTTCTGGCAATAAAATAAAGGAGCGATGTGCAATGCTGGAATAGTGATGTTTTGGGCTTGAATTGCGTTTTTGGAGCCCAAGATGACATTGGATGGGTTCATGGCCTTCTGGAAATGTGTTCAGAACGTCATGATCTTCAAAACAAGCTCTCATGGGCCAGATTTGAAGGATATTTGAGGCTAAAACGTGGCTGGACAGTTTCTGTGCAGGTTCTCCTAGCTTAATTAAGACTCTATTTTCTAAATTATTTTATTGTTATTTAGTTTCCTAGTTGGAACAAAAGACTACACTTTAGGGTTTGTGGATGGTATAGCAGGATATATTGCTTTGCCGTTCTTAGTCTTTTCTATGTTTTCTTTTATGAAATTTTGGAGACGAAGAGTAATTGCTAGGGTTCTTGGAGATTTTCTACTTTAAGGTGTTTTCAATCTTTTTCTTCATAATAACATTTTCTATTATTTTAATCACAAATATGCGTAACTAATTCGTTTTGCTAGGGGCGAAGCCTTGAGCTTTAGCATGAATATGTAATTTTTATTTAATTATGCATACTTTTAAATTATTGATTATTGTTTTAAACTATCCAATTGTCTTAATGCTTGATCATCATTAGGATCTTTAGAAAAGTAATTTGATGCAATTTTGGTCGGAAGGTTTCTTGAAATTGGCGATGGCTTCTTGTGATTAATAATTGTAATTTCACTTAAGATGAAAACCACGTCTTAGGGATTGCATGGTTTTTCAAAGGGTTTTCATAAAACATAATGAGTCTTTCATGTTCAGATTTGATCCGAACGTCCAGACGGGTTACATGTTAGATATACGTTATATGTTAGAGGTTCCAAGTAGAATATATATTAAGAAAACATGACCTTCAAACTGGCATGTGTAGATCATAAGTAATTGGTAAGAATTCATAGGATTGCTAGGTGATGGTGGAACCCTACTGTTTTTATAAAGGGGAAACTTGATATAAGTCCAATTTTTTGAGTCAATTGTAGGAATAGTCCAGTTTATTAAAATAAGTCCAATTTTTTATATTTAATTATTTATTTATCAATAGTTATCTGTTCAATGATAAGATTTATTATAAAAATCAAATTTCTTCCCAATTATCTCTTTGCTTATTTCTTTTTATTTATCTTTTTGTTATTTCTCGTTCTTCCTCCTACTTTAAACCCCATTTATAGATTTTATTTTTAATTTTTATAATCAACCTATATCACAGGTTAATTATATTTATCTACCTATATAACAGATTCTTTTTTTATAATCAACCTGTCACAGATTAATGTGTCTTACTTGTAGGTATGTTATGTTTTTTCTACATTTTAATTAGGTTTCATATCTCACGTATAGGTATTATATACATTCATATATTTGTTACTTGAGTTAGGGTAGAATGTTTTGTAGATAAATTTATGTTAGTATATTAGTTTTTTTGTTATAAGATATTAAATATATTCTTTTGGAGTTGGAAAATGCATAATATTATAAGATTTTAATTGATTTTTAATATTTTTAGAAAATATAAAATGAGTATAAAAGAAATAAAAACAAATAATTAGATAACTGGACTCACTCCTAAAAACACTCTACATTTTTGGACCTGGATCTAAAAGCCCCTTTTATAAATTGGTATTTAAAACTTTTTTTTTTTAATCATATTAGTTGTGGGCAAATTTATTATTTGTTTTTAATTAAAATTCGTTTTTAATATTACCCAAAATCAAAATCTCTTTTTTCAATTTTTAATTTTAAGTAGTTGATTAGGAATTGTTTTTACATAAATTAGTAAAATAGTCCTTGAGAAGATAGCATCTATACTATAATATCCTGTATTCTTGCAAGTATTTCATATGATTTTGACCCGATTTGCATAGACGGTAAAAATCCTATCATGGATCCCGGATCAGATTGGTGCTACGTCTTTTTCATTTGGAACTAATCATCTGAGTAAGCTTTGGTCTAAGCTCTGGGCTGCTCGGGTCCCTCCCAAGGTAAAAATCTACGTGTGGCGAATTGTTCATAACATTCTTCCCACTCAACTCAACCTCGCTCGTCGCCATCTGGAGGTTGAGGTTGATTGTTTCCTTTGTGGTGCCTTGTGCGAATCTAATCTCCATCTGCTCAGGGACTGCCCTTTCGCCATCTGTGTGTGGTTGGCCCCGGTTTCTTCGTCCCTTCGGTGGACCTTGCCTCCGCCGCGGTTCATCAAGGTTGAAGTGGATGGTGCTTGGCTTGACGGGCTGAAGTTGGGTGGTGTTGGAATCATTGCTCGGAATGATAACGGAGAATTTTTGGCAGCTCGTGTGACTCGCTTTGATGATGTTTTCTCTCTGCAACAGGTTGAAGCTTTGGCGGCTCGGGAGGGCCTGGCGATGTTGGTTGAAAAGGGCTTTCAAAATGTCATTTTTGAAACTGATTCTCTCCACGGCAGATTTGCTGGAGCGTCCGGTCAATAGGTCCCTCATTGGGCCATCGAAGATGCAAAGGCGTTTCTGTCAAGAGTCACAGGAGTTGTGCCTGCCCATGTTCGTCGTCAGGGCAACGAAATGGCTCATCGTCTTGCTAAGTTTGCCCTACGTCAAGTGGGTTTCCGTTCATGGCTGGAGGAAGCCCCTGACTTCCTGGCTGACTTATTTGTGGTGGAATGTAATGCGTAAGTGTTAGTTTTTATTGGTTGATTTCATTTCGGGAGGGCTCTTTGTCTCTCTCTCAGTGTTTTCATTGTACCACAGATTGTGCCTCAATATTTGGGCCTCACAGATTGTGCCTCAATATTTGGACCTCACTACTTAACTCATAATGTATATAAGTAGGGAGGGAAATCCTTGTTCTATAAAAGGGATGCTTCACCCTCACCCAAGGACTCATTTTACAAAGTGGAAGCCAAATTTGTACCAATGTAGACGTAGTCCCAACTTGAGATAAACCACGATATATTGCGTTCTTACTTCATTTAGGTAATTATAGAACTTGACAGTTTTGTTACATATAGAATTCAAGTACTAAATATTCATGATGTACGTATGCTGATATATGTAGTATACCTACATAGTCTATATAGTAGGCACCGACTTTTTGATGGAAATTCAGATTATGC